CCTGAATCAAAAAGACACTCGACGGGTCACTCATGATGTGGGTGGGGGTAGAGGTGTTCAGGTACGGACATGCTAATTCCCAACTAAATGTAGATGTACATATTTAATGATTTCCTGGATTTTTGTAATGTCGAACAACAGATAATATATATATATATATTATATTTTCTATACTGATAGGACGAGTGAAAACTAGCTAAAGATTGAGACCACTGGTGGGATTGATTGACTGGCCCGGTCTAGACCTGGATCCTTGATATGACTCTATTGAATCTGCGACAATCAATACTTCAGATCAAACGCTGAATTACTTCATAGTAGGCTGCATTGTGTTGAGTAGCTATTCAAACCACCAAGACAAGGAAAAGTTCACAGTCTGTCTGATGTGAAAGCATCTACTCTGCCAATCCATTTCATCCTCTCCACTTTACATCCATCAGCAGACGCCGCGGCTACACACTACCCCCACATCCAAACCCCCAAACCAGTCACAACCCCCATCACCGCCTCAAAAGGCGCGACTCGTTTCCACGCCTCCTCACCCGTCCGATAAAACACCACCGCAGCCAAAAGCCTGGTCGGTATCGTAGCCGCCATCATTGGGATGTTATTCTGATAGGCGACGAGAGCGTAGAAAGTACCCAGTGTCAAGGAGGAAAGACTTGTGTTTAATTAGAGAGAAATATAACAGATCTTCGTTATAAAAATAGCCTACCTCATCGCCTGAATAGTCCCTACGCTGACGCCCCGCAGCGGCAGGTATGGTGATTGCGCAGCGGAAGCGGGAAAAAGGAGGGTGTAGAGGCCGCTGCCGAGGAGGGGGAGGGATTGGAGGGCGAAGAGGTATTGGGGGATTTGGGAAGACATGACTTCTTGTAGGTGTCTGGGACTTGGGTTTTTGGTTTGTAAGTGCTGCGTGGTGGTGTCTCTGGCAGATGGGTGAGATGTGGTGAGATTGAGGTTGCTGTCCGTCAGCATCCGCGCCACTGTTGTTTAATTAAGGCTGGAGACCCCACCACGGGTGGCTTGATCCCTTGCGGGATGCCAGATGAGCGGGAAGAATGTATACTGGGGTGCTGTACGATGGGATCTAGGCATGTTGTGATGTGAAGGGACATGGTATAAGATTGGAGACCTGTGAGGTCCCCAGGATTGGACGTTTTTGGAAAGAGTAATATGGTCTAGGACGATGTTGTTGGGACAACGAATCGATAGAGTGAGAAGATCAATGGAGCAAAATACTATTCCATTGTGAATAACGACGCAATTACAACTGCGCTAAAAGCAATCGAGCAGACATCTGAAAAAAGGATACCAGTCCAGCCAGTGCAGATCACCACGTCAGTCAAAGCGTGGGTATTAAGAACTCTTCATTCAACGTAAGACAACGCTCACAAAAAGTCACGAATCACCATCTAATCCAGGAACATCAGCTGACCATTCTGGTTCGTAATCCTCTCATCCAGACGAATCCAGGTCCGATTCCATCCGTCATTACCATCCGCCAACTCCGCCTCCAGCACACGGCCCCCATCAACCAAGCGAACATTTCTAGCAGACGCCGCAAAGTTTCCATTCCGCTCCCACGCAAACTTTCCCCAGTGATTAGCCAACACGCTGTTCAATGGGAGTACCGAAAGCTGCAGCTCTCCGGACACCCGTCCACAAGCAGCCACCAGATCGTGGTGACTTTCGAGGCGGATATCCCGAGCCGAAGCGGAGAAGTTTCCGCGCAGAGGCGCGCCGTGATGAGGAGGAGGTCTGTGGTGGTACTGGTGCTGCTGGTGAGACATCCTGTATTGTTCTTCCCTACGACGCTGTTCTTCCATTCTGCGACGTTCTTCCTCGCGACGGCGCTCTTCTTCCTCGTGCTCTTTCTTCTCCTTGTGCTTCTTCACTGCGTCTTCGGCCACGGAGCCCATCATAGCTCCACCGATGGTGCCGAGAAAACCGTGGTTGACCTTATGTCCTGCGAAACCACCAGCTGCACCGCCTGCCAGGGCGCCCATGATACCCTTCTCGCCTTCGCCGGCGGCGGCGGGGTCGGTGGACGACTCAGGAGAGTATGGAGGAGGTTGCTGGTGGGAGGCGTAGCCTTCGTGCTGAGGGTAAGGCGGGTAGGGCCTCGACTCGGAGGGAGGCTGGCCGTATTGTGAAGGCTGTTCGTACTGTGGGTAAGGTGGGCGTCCACCGTAAGATGAGTATTCAGGGTTCTGGTAGCCGGGCTGAGGGGACGGCTGCTGGTATGGGCTGTAAGGTCTGTTGTAGCCTCCAGCGCCCTGAGGGGGATAAGGAGAAGAGGCGCCGTATCGGTCATGGCCGTTCTCGACGGAGGGGGGATACGAGCCGTATCCGGTGGAACTGGGAGTGTCGACGGCTGGGGATGACCAGGGAGAGGGGTTCTGCTGACGGCGATCAGGGTTGGCGGGGGTGGCACTGCTGCCACCGAAGTACTCTTGAGCTGCCATCGTGGGGTCTAACTGTGTTTGTTGGCGGCTAGAGAAGATGGAGGGATGTATTAGAGATGCTGGAGTGAAGGAGGAGAGAAAAGCAAAGAAACGATCAAGGAAGAGGAGTGTTGACTTCTTAAGCGGGAAAGCTGTGGCTGTGCGGGGTTGGGGGAGGGGCTGCCTGAGACCCCGCTAACCTAGCCCAGTAAGCGCGAGTCAGGCACCAAGTGGCGCAGTCAAAGGGCGGCGGTTCGATTGGTGCAGAGGAGAGCTCTGATGGCTGTTCCATGGGCGGGACTGACTTAGGGCTGACAGGAGTTGCCTACACAGCCCCACTGCTTCTGTGCCTACAAGCTCTTTCACGGTGCTTCGCGGGCTCACTTTTCCCTGAAACGTACAGGAAGCTAAGTAGGGATAAGACTTTTCGCTTGAACTGGCTGATGTGAGAAGTGTGTATACACTATAATGTATGTCGTCATGGGTAACTGATGCTTGTATGATAGACACTGAAAGTTGATTTCATTGCTGCCTATGACCGGATGTGGGGGCTGAATTCTGGGCAAGGGTCTTCGACAATGAATTTTTTACTCATTACTTGGCTTTCCCAGATATATGGTTTTCTCTGTGACTCCTTGGTAGTGTCTTTCACCGACTTGAGACAGGTCAGATCGATCTGCTTTCACTTAGAGCTATCATACACTGCACCCAAGTCAACTCCCTCCTTCATTACGGCAGGGCTGACTAGACTCCCAACTAAAACAATCACAGGCCCTATGTGACACAGTCTGACTCAAGTAAAATACACCATCTTTATACTGTGTTAACAGTCCGAAAATCTCGACATTCACTACCATGTCATGAGGCATCACGGCATAACGCAGTCATAAGCGAACATTCATTCACAGCCTAGACAGCGATCAAAAGACAGCCTAGCCGAGGCATAGATGGCCACAAGCGAGAAACCGAAACACACGGAGCGCACTCTCATTTTCATGAACTCAACAGGGACTTCGAACGGTCCACTCCAAAGCTTGAGTGGATCGAACACCCTGTTTTCCCTTTCGGGTATAGTTTCGGGCCCGTGGTCCACCGTCAACAGCTGCACCGCCACCGAACATTGATCAGCATTAACGCATGGTTCAGTCGATGGTCTGATAGATGACACCATTTGTGAATGACAGGAACAGGGAAACGGAAGCTTGTCTGTTCTAGGCCTTGCTGTATAGCATGTGCCTCATGCTCAAGCAGACCATTCAACCTTAGCCATACGAATGGTATTCGAAATCATACTAACTTCAATCACTATGATCACAATTAACATCCACCTCCGATTAAAGTATACACGTTATCTAATGTACAGGAATATATATACAGCCATCACCCCCGAACGATATAAAACCCATTCACGGCAATCTGCTTATCCCTTGCCTCATCCGTCGGAGCCCTAACCCCGATCCAATGCAATGGAACCTTCTCCGCTAGCTTCTGCCCTCGATACTTGACGTTCTCCACACCTTCTCTAGTTCTTTCCATCCAGCCTCCCCTTCCACTTCCACTCGCTCCGTTGGTGACTATACCTCTCGTCCCCGAGAAGGGCTTATCCGCTGCCCAAGCAGGATGTTCGAGAATGCTCTGCGCATATGACACATCGCATGCATCGGCTAACATGGCTGCCTCAGCTGCTGCCTCCCGCGCAGCTATGAGATCCTTTTCAGTCTGGCCTCTGGGCGGAGGTACATCCGGGCGCAGAAACCCCATGATCCGGATTTGAAGCTTTATTTGAGCTCGTACCGGCACAGCAGGTTCATCAATGAAGCGGACAGTCGTGATCTTCTGCATAGCGCGGGAGAGATTGACTCGCTCCTGTTGTATCGGATCAAAGTATACAATCGAGAACACGACGCCCTGCCACGTTCCTGAGACCGAACCTGGCCCTCTCTCCGCTGTCGCCTCAACACCCTCAACTCTCGCCCACCCAAAGAAAAACCCCCGATACCGATCCAGCACCATATCAGGTACCTTACCAACCCTAAACCGAAGCCCATCACTATCCCCGGCCTCCACTCTCGCTGTAAGGTCCATAGGGAATGGCGCCTTCGGCCCCTCCTCCAACGCAAGCTGATACCCCGCCTGCACATCCTTCAACCCATTACCACTCCCACTCCCTCCCCCATCATCATCATCCCCACCAACCCCCAACACTGACCCAACCCTATCCCCAACCCCACTAACCGAAACGGCCGTCTCCGCCGCCGTCTGCGTCACCCAACTCGGCTGATACGGCTGCACCTTACTCTGCACCGCGGCCGTAACCGGCGCCACGACCGCCTCAGCCGCAGTCTGAACATACATACCCAGCACCATAGCCCCGACCTCCAACGGCATAGTCGACAAACTAGCCCCCCTACACGAACTAGGACTCAAACTCGTCGACAAAACCCGAAACACCGGACTATAGCACATAACCTTCCTCCTATTCTCTCCATACCCGCAAAGCACAAGCTGGAAGTACCCGTCCCCCGCCTCCACAGGAATCCTCACCACCATCGTCTCGCGCAGCACATGCTGTCTCTCGCGCCCCGTCGCCTTCTTGCGAAACTTGCCAATGTCGCGCTGCCAGGCGCGCTCATCAACCGGGTCAACTTGCTGCACATGCACGGGGAGCGTCGGGGTGACGTTTAGCCAAGAGTCGGTGAGGCCGAGAAAGGCTTTGGTTTTCATGCCGGTTTTGCCGCTCCAGCCTTTGCTTTGGAGGTAGAGTGTGCGGGTTGGTGGGAGGGGGGCGTCGGAGAAGATGGAGATGGTGACGGAGGTGGTGCTGCCGCGGTAGAAGACAATGCCGGAAGAGTGCCGCAGTATGGTGGTGTGTTTTGTGCTGCTTGTGGGGTGCGTTATGAGACCGCCGAGGAAGTGGGTGGCTTCGTTGTAGGCCTTTTGGGCGGCGGAGGGGCCTGTTGGGGTTGTTGCGGAGCGAGGAGGGGGTGGTGGTGGTGGTGGGAGGGGGGAGGGGGGACGACTTTGATAGGATGGCTCATTGTGGGTGGTTGCAGAGCGGACAGGGAGGGGTGGTGTGTAGGGTGGTGGAGGGCGATGAGGACGAGGTGATAGTGGTTGTTGGTGGACCTGGAGTTGCTGTTTGGAGGATACGCATGGTTGTGGCGGTGGTGTTTGCGAAGGCGATACCGTTATGACGCCGCGGGTGGTGCCGTCCGGGGAGGTAGTCTGGGGTAGAGGTTTGCGCTTTATTCCTGTGTTTGTGTGCATGGTGTGGTGCACCACTGGGAATTTGGGGTTATCTAGTAATCATTATGGTTCAGCGGGAATGGTCAGGAGATAAATCCCCTGGACCCCTATTATGACGGTCTGGATCGAGTGATGATGTCGATCGGATGCAGCGGATGTGATGAGTCAGCGGGCGATAAGATAAGATGGTTTGACAGGAGGTGGGGACCAGTAGTCTGCAAGAAACTGTTAAGGACTTACCTATGGCATTATTAGATGTATTGAAGCATGGATAATAGAGTGTGCATTGTTTTTCTAAGCCATTTATTAGTTAAGCAGTTGTATAGTGGTGTTGCGTAATAGTAAGATTGTAATCTCCCCACCATGTGGCGGTTGCATCAAACGGAAAGTATATTCCGCTGCGGCGAAGACATATAAGGAACTTCACCAACCAGCAGCAGGAAAACCGTAACCATCAGCTATGCCCTCAAGCTTACTACTCTATCTACTATTCTTTCAAAATGTCCCACCTCACCTATTATAACTACGAAGGAGTTGGAAAAAGGAACCAGGAAAAGTTCAAATATAGCCAAGCCGTGCGCATAGGTGATCGCATTGAATGCTCTGGACAAGGTATTCCGAATTATTGCATATACGGATATTGGGATCAATGATTAACCATTACAGGCGGCTGGGACCCAAACACTGGGGAGTTCTATAAAGAGATCAACGCGCAGATCGACCAAGCTTTCAAGAACGTCGAGCTGAATCTGAAGAACGCTGGCGGCAAAGGGTGGGAGCAGGTCTTCCGCGTGAACTCGTACCATGTCCCCATTAACAACGAAGCGCTGGATGCCATGGTCAGGAACTTTAAGCAGTATATGCCGAATCATGAGCCCCTGTGGACATGTGTGGGCGTGACGAGGTTGGGGGAGGATGATATGAGGGTTGAGATTGAGGTGGTGGCGCATGATCCAAAATAGTCTGTGACCAGAAATTTCGGAAAGGTGGCTGAACCATGCGGCTTATTATAATCGAAGGGCATGTATATAATGCTAACTACCATGCATGGTCCCATGTGGCCTGATTCAACAAGTCAAAGTATCCGTAGTCGTCTGGTAGCTGGCTCCAAGCTGCGAGATCAGTACCGAGCATATCATGCAGCTCCGGAATAGCCCCGTTATTAGTAGTGCCAAACAGGTCGAAGGCATTTTGTGCAGGATCATGGATGTCAAGGTCAACCGCAGTGATGTTACCATCCTCAGGTGACACCTCGCTCGGCAGCATGGGACAAAGCCTTCTCAGATTATTCGCAATATGTCGTGCGGGATGCCAAGACTTAGACAGTCCATCAAGTGCAGCAAGACATATTCGCAGCTGGTTGCGCTTAGACGGACAGTTTGGCTCCTCCAGAATGACCCGAGCTGCTGATAGCGTGCAATGCATGGCTGAAATTGGACTACGTTGGAAATTGCCAAATGTCCGGCAATATTTCTGAGCCACAACACACATTGTCTTAGCGGAGTCCCTGCATACGGTTTGAGCCTTCTCCATCGTCTTAGTCTTTGTATCAGGCGAGTCGTAGTAGCAAGGGTCCATTAGGAACGGTTTGGCAAGTAGAATCTTCGTCGTATGATATACCATATGAAGGGTATATGCCTGAGGCACAGGGTTGGGACGGTCGATCCTGAGGTGCTGAGGAAGATCGTAGAACCAAGATTTTAGTGCGAGAAGGTTGGATTCAAGAAATTCCGGCCGCTCCGTCCCCTTCACGAGTGGCTTGGGGCCCCACCTTTCTTGGTCAGAACGTTGTTAATGTAGTTGGGATGATACTTACATTGAGAGTAGGATGTTCTCGGTGATTTTACAGATTCCGATCAGTGCTCTTTGCAGAGGGGCCACTATTTTTCGGATCTCCGCAGGTGTCTCCACGGTCTCCGCGGGATCGTCCATATCTGATGGTAACTCGACAGCACCTTGCTGATCCTGCGCGCTGTTAGCGAGAAAAGGAGGACGGCACAAGAGAACTGACGAGCATCGAGCATATCCGCCCCGTATAAGTAGCGGAAAGCTTGTCATGACAATACAGTGTCCAATAAATCTGCCTTCTCAAGCGTGCCTCTCTGGCTGATATAGTGACCGTGCCTGCAAAGCCTGCCGGATCCATGTTCAAGCCCATGTCAAGACACAGTCGGTCCGCCATGCCATGGTGTAGCCATCCAGCGGCATCTTTGCCGATTGCCTATTCGCCATCATAAGTCACAAGTTCTGATTGCATTTGAAACAGAGAACCCACAAAGTAGACCATGCCAAAGACTCCTAGAGCCTGAATAGTGACAAGAGTAGGATTTTCCATCTCTAAGTGTAGAAGACTCTTCGCTCGGGAGAGGAACTCCAGACCGGCTGAGTTTGAGTCATTGGAATCTAATCGGACTTGCAAGCTATCGGAATATCGAGAGCCTAAAGCGAGAATAGAGTAGTGAAGCAGTGGACTCCAGTATTTTCCCAGAGAGCTCATGCTCTCCCTGAATAGAGTCTCGTCGACAATGGGATACCATGGTTGTTCCCATGTAAAGTAAAGATTAATGAGCTCGTTCTGCAGAGAGATAGGAATT